GAAAGTTGGCATGGTATCATCATTTCACCCACATAGCATGTGCTAAAAAGTTGAGAGGGTTACGGTAAAAACTGGATGCACTTCGTGTACAAAATGGACAATCTCTTTCGAAGTATCAGGGTTTTGAACGAAAACTCATCTCTTACAAAGGGATTTGATTTTTTTGAACTTATTTGAACTCGAGACTTTTTGTGTGTTCAAAATGCACCATCGAAGTCACATCATCAATTTTCAACCCTTTCTGACTTCATTCGGTATTCTTCATGCATTTACTGTTTTTTTGAGCTAAATGACCCTGAAATTGAAAAGCGCTACAAATGAACTCTGAAAAGGTTGAAAGTAGGCACGGTATCATCGTTTCACCCACATAGCATGTGTTAAATAGTTGAGAGGGTTACGGCAATAACTAGATGCACTTCGTGTACAAAATGGACAATCTCTTTCGAAGTATTAGGGTTTCGGACGAAAACTCATCTATTACGAAGGGATTTCATTTTTTGAACTTATTTGAACTCCAAAAAATTTGTGTGTTCAAAATGCACGATTCAAAGCCACATCATCAATTTTCAACTCTTTCTAACTTCATTTGGTATTTTTCATGGATGCGCTGATTTTTTTAGCTAAATGACCCTGAAATTGAAAAGCACTACAAATGAACTCTGAAAAGGTTGAAAGTTGGCATGGTATTATTATTTCACCCACATAGCATGTGCTAAAAAGTTGAGAGGGTTACAACAAAAACTAGATGCACTTCGTGTACAAAATGGACAATCTCTTTAGAAGTATGAGGGTTTCGGACGAAAACTCACCTGTTACAAAGAGATTTCATTTGTTTGAACTTAATTGAACTCCAGACTTTTGTGTGTTCAAAATTCACCATTCAAAGCCACATCATAAATTTTCAACCCTTTTTGACTTCATTTGGTATTTTTCATGCATTTACAGATTTTTTTGAGCTAAATGACCCAGAAATTGAAAAGCACTACAAATGGACTCTGAAAAGGTTGAAAGTTGGCATGGTATCATCATTTCAACCACAAAGCATGTGCTAAAAAGTTGAGAGGGTTACGACAAAAACTTGATGCACTTCGTGTACAAAATGGACAATCTATTTCGAAGTATCAGGGTTTTGGACGAAAACTCATATGTCACAAAGGGATTTCAATTTTTTGAACTTATTTGAACTCTAGACTTTTTGTGTGTTCAAAATGCACCATTTAAAGCCACATCATTAATTTTCAACCCTTTCTGACTCCATTTGGTATTTTTCATGCATTCAGTGATTTTTTTGAGCTAAATGACCCTGAAATTGAAAAGCACTACAAATGTACTCTGAAAACGTTGAAAGTTGGCATGGTATCATCGTTTCATCCACATAGCATGTTCTAATAAGTTGAGAGGGTTACGGAAAAAATTGGATGCACTTCGTGTACAAAATGGACAATCTCTTTCGGAGTATCAGGGTTTCGAACGAAAACTCATATGCTACAAAGGGATTTCATTTCTTGAACTTATTTGAACTCCAGACTTTCTGTGTGTTCAAAATGCACTATTCAAAGCCACATCATCAATTTTCAACCCTTTCTGATTTCATTTTGTATTCTTCATGCATTTACTGATTTTTTTGGAGCTCAATGACCGTGAAATTGAAAAGCACTACAAATGAACTCTGAAAAGGTTGAAAGTTGGCTTCGTATCATCATTTCAACCACATAGCATGTGCTAAAAAGTTGAGAGGGTTACGGCAAAAAATAGATGCACTTCGTGTACAAAATGGACAATCTCTTTCGAAGTATCTGGGTTTCGAATGAAAGCTCATATGTTACAAAGGGATTTCATTTTTTTAACCTATTTAAACTCTAGACTTTTTGTGTGTTCAAAATGCACCATTCAAAGCCACATCATCAGATTTCAGCCCTTTGTGACTCCATTTGGTATTTTTCATGCATTTACTGATTTTTTTAGCTAAATGACCGTG